CTAATAATACTAGCCATCCTCTGCCACGCATTGCTGTGGCCCAGTCTGTGTATATGTGTTTTGTGTATGTATATATGTGTATGTGTGTGTGTTTACTTGTGTGTATGTGGTTCTGTGCATGCACTGTAATGTGATTTTTAATTCTTTGGCTTTTAAAGTCTCTTCTGCTGTGTTTTTCAGTGTTTTTATGAGTTATGCAATAGAATACTAATAATAATGCAATATAATAACTTTATATTTCATATTACATGTAATTTTAATAATACTAGCCGTCCCCTGCCATGCATTACTGTGGCCCAGTCTGTGTATATGTGTTTTGTGTGTGTATACATGTGTATGTTTATTTGTGTGTATGTGGTTTTGTGCATATATTGTAATGTAGAGACATCAGACTGGCAACAAAGATCCGCCTAGTCAAAGCCATGGTATTCCCTGTAGTAACCTATGGATGTGAGAGCTGGACCTTAGGGAAGGCTGAGCGAAGGAAGATAGATGCTTTTGAGCTGTGGTGTTGGAGGAAAGTTCTGAGAGTGCCTTGGACTGCGAGAAGATCCAACCAGTCCATCCTCCAGGAAATAAAGCCCGACTGCTCACTGGAGGGAAGGATACTAGAGACAAAGTTGAAGTATTTGGCCACATCATGAGGAGACAGGAAAGCCTAGAGAAGACAATTATGCTGGGGAAAGTGGAAGGCAAAAGGAAGAGGGGCCGACCAAGGGCAAGATGGATGGATGGCATCCTTGAAGTGACTGGACTGACCTTGAGGGAGCTGGGGGTGGTGACGGCCGACAGGGAGCTCTGGCGTGGGCTGGTCTATGAGGTCACGAAGAGTCGGAGACGACTGAACGAATGAACAACAACAATATATACATATATATTTTCAAGTCATTGATGGTTAATTTTATGAGTGATGGTCACTCGTTGGCCTGATAGGTGTATTGTGTCCAAATTTGGTGTCAATTTTCCAGTGGTTTTTGAGTTATGTTAATCCCACAAACGAACATTACATTTTTATTTATATAATTATGGTGGTATAGTACAATATATTAATATATAATACTAATATTGTGCTATGCTAATAATGTAATATATTGTATGTACATATATCTTGTAAGCTGCTCTGAGTCCCCTTTGGGGTGAGAAGGGCGAGATATAAATGTAGATAAATAAATAATGGGCATCCAATAAGATGTATGTATGGATGAGAGTGTGCATCAATGAAAGGCAAAGTGCCTGGGAAGAACAGTCATAAGAAGGCTTGCAACACACAAGAGAAAAGCTGCTAGGGTGTGAATACAAAGCATTTAAAGGGTCGTAAATAAAATACTGCAGACTACTTCAACCAGAGAAGTCAGCCATAGCAGAGCACCTGATGAACCAACCTGGACACAGCATATTATTTGAGAACACAGAAATGCTGGACCACACCAACAACCACCATGTCAGACTACACAGAAGCCATTGAAATCCACAAGCATGTGGACAATTTCAACAGAAAAGGAAGAGACCATGAAAAGGAACCAAACATGGCTACTAGTCTTAAAAAGCTCTAAAATCAGGACAGTAAATAAAGAACAACATTAAAAAAAAACAGCGGAGTTCCAGACAAGAATCAATCAGGGCCAACTAATACATCCCAACAAAAAAATCCCCTTAGGCAGCAACCAGACAGGCTTTGAAGCTGCAAGGCCATTCAATACTAATCAAGATGACCAATTGCAACGTTCAAGCAAACAAGAGTTCTTTCTCCCACCCTGGACATCATTTTACAGATATATAAACCTAACTTTCCAAGTTTCCAACAGACCTCACAACCTCGGAGGGTGCCTGCCATTGATGTGGGCAAAATGCCAGGAGAGAATGCTTCTGGGATATAGCCATACAGCCTGGAAAACACACTGCAACCCATGAAAACCTTTGACAACACAATAATAAGAAAAACAACAACAATAACAAATTCATTTGTTGTCAATGCTGTTGTTATTATTAGTTGTATTTTATGAGTTTCATAGATAGCATTGTACTGTTTCCCATTTAAGACATATGCGGTTTCAACTCCCATCATCCCCAGCCAACAACCCACAGACTGGGGATGGTGGGGGTTGTAATCTGCCGCATCTGGAGAGCAGCAGATTGGGAAGAAAGCTTTGTTTCCTCGAAATTATTTCTCTGCAAATGACGTGCTCCGTCTACTGAGAGGCTGTTGCTTTTGAGTCACTCTGAGGCTGAATTTTCAAGAAACCAAAACAGAATCGAGAGAAGGCCTTCTTAAACTTTTCCACATAGGGGTCTCAGAAATGTTTACGTGACCCCCAAGGTATATAGGTCTACAAAATACGTACGAAAGCCATACATTCACTGATAACAAATCAGCTAAACAGGCTGATTTTCCTTTCGATGGAAGCATTTTCTTCCTTGCTGGGTATATATAGGATCCTAGAGTTGGAAGAGACCCCCAAAGGCCATCCAGTCCAACCCCCTGCCATGCAAGAAGGCACAATCAAAACACTCCCAATCGACAACCTCTGCGGAAAAGCCCCCAGAGAAGGAGAGTCCACCACACTCCAAGGCAGTCCATGTCAGGAAGTTCTTCCTAATCTTTTCAGTGGGATCCACTCTCCAGGAAGTGCTTCCTAATCTTTCCTATTGAATCTCACTTCCTTGCCATTTGAACCCATGGCTCCCTTGTGCCCTGGTCTCTAGAGCAGCGGAAAGTCAGTTTTCCCCCTCCTCCTCCTCAATGGGACACCCTTTGAAATCTTGAAACATGGTTATCATGTCCTCTCGCTTCCTTCTCTTCCCCCAGCTAAACATCCCCCAGGAAGAAGGAAAGAGAGAAGGGAGGAAGAGAAGGATGGAAAGGGGGGGGGGGAGAGAATGGAGGGAGGGAGGAAAGAGAGAAGGAAAGAGGCATGGAAGGAAGGAAGGAAAAAGAGAGAGAGAAGGTGGGAGGAAAGAAGGAAGGAAGGACAAAAGGGTAGAAGAGAAGGATGGAAGGAAGGAAAGGTGACAGGGAGTAGGAGGGGAGAGAGAAGGAAGGAAAGACAAAAGGGAAAGAAGGAAAGAAGAAAGGAAGGAAGGAAGGAGTAAGAGGGAAGGAGGTAGGAAAGGGGGAAGGAAGGAATAGAAGGAGAGAGGAAAGATAGATGGAAGGAAAGAAAGAAGGAAAAAGAGAGGGAAGGAGGAAGGAAGAGAAGGATGGAAGGATGGAGGGAAGTGAGGGAGGGAGGAAAGGAAGTAGGGAGGAAAGACAAGAGGGAAAGAAGGAAGGAAGGAGAAAGAGAGAGGGAAGGAAGGAAGGGTGGAAGAGAAAGAGGGAGGAGAGAAGGAAAGATGGATGGAAGGAAAGAAAAAAGGAGAAAGAGAGAAGGAAGGAGGGAAGAAAGGAAAAGGGAGGAAGGAAGAGGAAGGAAGGAAGGAGGGAGGAAGAGGGAAGGAAGGAAGGAGAAGGGAGGGGAAGAGAGGAGAAAGAGAGAGGGAAAGAAGGAAGGAAGGAAGGAAGGAAGGAAGGAAGGAAGGAAGGAAGGAAGGAAGGAGAAGAGAGGAGAGGAGGAAGAGGTAACACACAGCACACACAACACAAAGAAGGAAGGAAGGGAGAGGGGAGGGGAGGGGAGGGAAGGGAGAAAGGGTGGAAGGGAAGGAAGGAGAAAGAGAGGGAAGGAGGGAGCAAAGAGGGAAGGAAGGACAAAAGAGAAAGGCAAGAGGGAGAAAGAGGCAGATAAGGAAGGAGGAAGGAAAAAGAGAAGGACGAAAGGAAAGGATGGTGAGAGAGAGGAGGGCCCGAGAAAGGAGCCCAGGGGGCCGCACTCGGCCCGCGGGCCACTGTTTGCCCATACCTGGACTAAGGAGTAATCATTCTCAAAACCTAGCTTGGTTTTCCTTTTCATGGAAGAGGTCTCTAACCATAACAAGTAAACAAACTTACTAAGGAACCATCCAAAAATAAAGACTATTTCCAAATTGGCCCCAAGTTGGGAGTTTCAGGGGAGCGCTCGCCTATTTGGGGAACAGTTTGGGAAGCAGTGGCTCTCCAGGAAAACCCCCAAAAAGACTATTTCCAAATTGGCCCCAACTTGGGAGTTTCAGGGGAGCGCTCACCTATTTGGGGAACAGTTTGGGAAGCAGTGGCTCTCCAGGAAAACCCCAAAAAAAGACTGTTTCCAAATTGGCCCTAAGTTGGAGTTCCAGGGGAGCGCTCACCTATTTGGGGAACAGTTTGGGAAGCAGGGGCTCTCCAGGAAAACCCCCAAAAAGACTATTTCCAAATTGGCCCCAACTTGGGAGTTTCAGGGGAGCGCTCACCTATTTGGGGAACAGTTTGGGAAGCAGGGGCTCTCCAGGAAACCCCCCAAAAAGACTGTTTCCAAATTGGCCCCAACTTGGGAGTTTCAGGGGAGCGCTCACCTATTTGGGGAACAGTTTGGGAAGCAGGGGCTCTCCAGGAAAACCCCCAAAAAAGACTATTTCCAAATTGGCCCCAACTTGGGAGTTCAGGGGAGCGCTCACCTATTTGGGGAACAGTTTGGGAAGCAGGGGCTCTCCAGGAAAACCCCCAAAAAAGACTGTTTCCAAATTGGCCCCAACTTGGGAGTTCCAGGGGAGTCCTCGCCTATTTGGGGAACAGTTTGGGAAGCAGGGGCTCTCCAGGAAAACCCCCAAAAAAGACTGTTTCCAAATTGGCCCTAAGTTGGAGTTCCAGGGGAGCGCTCACCTATTTGGGGAACAGTTTGGGAAGCAGGGGCTCTCCAGGAAAACCCCCAAAAAGACTATTTCCAAATTGGCCCCAACTTGGGAGTTTCAGGGGAGTCCTCGCCTATTTGGGGAACAGTTTGGGAAGCAGGAAAAGCCAGGAAAACTCACAGCAAGCCATAAAGACAGAAGAGGAAGTTGATTCCTTTGAGACAGACACATCAACCAACACTGACACTCCCCAAAGTGCACCCCACCCCCCAAGAATAAGCCAGACCTCTGACTGACTCCCTGTCTCCTTCACTCACCCAGGAAGAGGGAGGGCTGGCCGGGCTGCAATCCCGGAAGTGTGGCCCGAGGCTCAGCCCCAGAGGCAATGCCGGTCCATGGGAGGAAGGGGAAGAGGAAGAGGAAGAGGAAGAGGGAGGGAAGGCTGGCGAACAAAAGGAGGCCGCGCTCCTTCACTGCAGCGCCGGGAAGCCAGGCAGCACCGGCGGGGGAAGTCTGGGCGGCATCGCCCGGGCGGAGGGAGCCGCAGCCGCCTGGCTCGAGGGCTGCCCGCCCCTCCGCATGCCTCGCCCGCTGGGCGACCCGCCGCTTGGGCTTCCCAGCCAGGCAGCAAGAGCAAGAGCAAGAGCAGGAGGGGAGGAGGAGCAGGCACGGCCTCCCCAAGACAACAAGCGCCGAGCAGAGGAAGGAAGGAAGGAAGCAAGGAAGGAAGGAAGGAAGGAGGAAAACCCGGCGCGGATTCCTCGCCAGCCGGACAAGGGGCACGCGCGCTCGCTCAATGGCTGCTCGCTCTCTCTCTCTCTCTCTCTCGCTCGCTCTTCTTAAAGGGGCCAAGCCCCGGCAGGGACCACCAGGCGGAAGCAGCAGCTCCACACACAGAAAGGACGGGAGGGAGAAAGGGGAAAGGGAGGCAGGGAAGAAGGAAGGCAGGCAGGACGAGCCAAAGGCATCAGCGCTTCTCTCTTTCCAACCCCTGGCCATGCAGGAAAGGCACCATCAAAGCACCCCCGACAGATGGACATCCAGCCATAATAATAATAATAATAATAATAGACTTGGAAGAGACCACATAGGGCATCTAGTCCAACCCCCTGCCATGCAGGAAAAGCACCATCAAAGCACCCCCGACAGATGGACATCCAGCCATAATAATAATAATAATAATAATAATAGACTTGGAAGAGACCACATAGGGCATCTAGTCCAACCCCCTGCCATGCAGGAAAAGCACCATCAAAGCACCCCCGACAGATGGACATCCAGCCATAATAATAATAATAATAATAATAATAGACTTGGAAGAGACCACATAGGGCATCTAGTCCAACCCCCTGCCATGCAGGAAAAGCACCATCAAAGCACCCCCGACAGATGGACATCCAGCCATAATAATAATAATAATAATAATAATAGACTTGGAAGAGACCACATAGGGCATCTAGTCCAACCCCCTGCCATGCAGGAAAAGCACCATCAAAGCACCCCCGACAGATGGACATCCAGCCATAATAATAATAATAATAATAATAATAGACTTGGAAGAGACCACATAGGGCATCTAGTACAACCCCCTGCCATGCAGGAAAAGCACCACCAAAGCATCCCCGACAGATGGACATCCAGTCATTAATAATAATAATAATAATAATAGAGGTCAAAGAAACCACTTGGGACATCTAGTCCAACCCCCTGCCATGCAGGAAAAGCACCATCAAAGCACCCCCGACAGATAGCCATCCAGCCATAATAATAATAATAATAATAATAATAATAATAATAATAATAATAATAGAGGTCAAAGAAACCACTTGGGACATCTAGTCCAACCCCCTGCCATGCAGGAAAAGCACCATCAAAGCACCCCCGACAGATAGCCATCCAGCCATAATAATAATAATAGAATCATAATATGATAGAGTTGGAAGACACCACATGGGCCATCTAGTCCAACCCCCTGCCATGCAGGAAAGGCACCATCAAAGCACCCCCAACAGATGGACATCCAGTCATCATCATCACTGAGTTGGAAGAGACCACATAGGACATCTAGTCCAACCCCCTGCCATGCAGGAAAAACAGCATCAAAGCACCCCAAGAGATTGACACCCAGTCATACTAATAATAATAACAACAATAACAATAATAATAGAGTTCAAAGAGACCACATGGGCCATCTAGTCCAACCCCCTGCCATGCAGGAAAAGCACCCCCAACAATCAAAGCACCCCCAACAGATGGACATCCAATCATCATTATCATCATCATCATCATCATCATAGAGTTCAAAGAGACCACATGGGATATCTAGTACAACCCCCTGCCTTTCAGGAAAAGCACACTCAAAGCACCCCTGATAGATGGACATGCAGTCATAATCATCATCATCATCATAGAGTTCAAAGAGACCACATGGGACATCTAGTCCAACCCCCTGCCATGCAGAAAAGGCACCATCAAAGCACCCCTGACAGATGGCCATCCAGTCATCGTCGTCATCATCATCATCATCATCATCGAGTTCAAAGAGACCACATGGGGCATCTAGTCCAACCTCCTGCCATGCAGGAAAAGCACCATCAAAGCACCCCTAACAGATGGTGATCCAGCCATAATAAGAATCATAGAGTTGGAAGAGACCACATGGGCCATCCAGTCCAACCCCCTGCCATACAGGAAAAGCACAATCAAAGCCCCCCTGACAGATGCCCATCCAGCCATAATAAGTATAATAGAATTTTTTTTCTCTAATGTGATGAAGTTCTTAGAACAGTGTTTCTCAACTAATTTCCCCTATCAGAGCTAGTTTGTGAGATACTGAACATGCACCGTTTACATAGAAAACCATGATAACCATATCTAGGAAACGAGAGATGATGCAGTCTATCCCAGTGTTTCTCAACCTAGGAGTCGAGACATCTATGGGGATCACAAGAGGAGGTTCAGAGAGGTTGCCAAAGACCATCAGAAAACACATACTTCTGATGGTCTTAGGAAACCCTTTGGCAGAGAAGGCTGAAGATCTCTCCACCTCTCTTTCTCTTCCTTTTTGGTGTTGGTGAACTACAACTCCCAGAATTCAAAAACTGCCCACCCTCAACCCCATCAGTATTCAAAGTTGGCCATATAGGTAGTGTGCCAAGTTTGGTGCAGATCCATTGTGGGATGGGTTCAGATTGTAGGCAAACTATAAATCCTAGCAACTACAACTCCCAAATGTCAAGGTCTGTTTCCCCCCAACTCCACCAGTGTTCATATTTGAGCATATTGAGTATTCGTGCCAAGTTTGGTCCAGATCCCTCATTGTTTGAGTCTACAGTGCTCCCTGGATGGTTTACAGATGACAAGTAATATACATAATATCAAAATGCACATAAAAACATAAAATACAATATAAAACCACAATAGAAATAATAAGCAACAGCCAGGAGACAGGTGTTTTTAAAGTCTCTTCCTCAGTCCCCTTCCTCCTCTTAGCTGGCTTGGGAGGGGGAGAGTAGCAGCAGGATTTCCTCCTTCTCCTCCTGAGGTGGCAGGCAGATGTACTAAGCAAGACAGGTGTTTTTAAAGTCTCTTCCTCAGTCCCCTTCCTCCTCTTAGCTGGCTTGGGAGGGGGAGAGTAGCAGCAGGATTCCCTCCTCCTCCTGAGGTGGCAGGCAGAGGTAGTAAGCAACTGTCAGGAGACAGGTGTTTTTAAAGTCTCTTCCTCGGTCCCCTTCCTCCTCTTAGCTGACTTGGGAGGGGGAGAGTAGCAGCAGGATTCCCTCCTTCTCCTCCTGAGGTGGCAGGCAGAGGTAGTAAGCAACTGTCAGGAGACAGGTGTTTTTAAAGTCTCTTCCTCGGTCCCCTTCCTCCTCTTAGCTGACTTGGGAGGGGGAGAGTAGCAGCAGGATTTCCCTCCTTCTCCTCCTGAGGTGGCAGGCAGAGGTAGTAAGCAACTGTCAGGAGACAGGTGTTTTTAAAGTCTCTTCCTCGGTCCCCTTCCTCCTCTTAGCTGGCTTGGGAGGGGGAGAGTAGCAGCAGGATTCCCTCCTTCTCCTCCTGAGGTGGCAGGCAGATGTAGCTAGGAGACACATGTTTTTAAAGTCTCTTCCTCAGTCCCCTTCCTCCTCTTAGCTGGCTTGGGAGGGGGAGAGTAGCAGCAGGATTCCCTCCTCCTCCTGAGGTGGCAGGCAGAGGTAGTAAGCAACTGTCAGGAGACAGGTGTTTTTAAAGTCTCTTCCTCGGTCCCCTTCCTCCTCTTAGCTGACTTGGGAGGGGGAGAGTAGCAGCAGGATTCCCTCCTTCTCCTCCTGAGGTGGCAGGCAGAGGTAGTAAGCAACTGTCAGGAGACAGGTGTTTTTAAAGTCTCTTCCTCAGTCCCCTTCCTCCTCTTAGCTGGCTTGGGAGGGGGAGAGTAGCAGCAGGATTTCCTCCTTCTCCTCCTGAGGTGGCAGGCAGATGTAGCAGGGGACAGGTGTTTTTAAAGTCTCTTCCTCAGTCCCCTTCCTCCTCTTAGCTGGCTTGGGAGGGGGAGAGTAGCAGCAGGATTTCCTCCTTCTCCTCCTGAGGTGGCAGGCAGAGGTAGTAAGCAACTGTCAGGAGACAGGTGTTTTTAAAGTCTCTTCCTCGGTCCCCTTCCTCCTCTTAGCTGACTTGGGAGGGGGAGAGTAGCAGCAGGATTTCCCCCTTCTCCTCCTGAGGTGGCAGGCAGAGGTAGTAAGCAACTGTCAGGAGACAGGTGTTTTTAAAGTCTCTTCCTCAGTCCCCTTCCTCCTCTTAGCTGGCTTGGAGGGGGAGAGTAGCAGCAGGATTTCCTCCTTCTCCTCCTGAGGTGGCAGGCAGATGTAGTAAGCAACAGCCAGGAGACAGGTGTTTTTAAAGACTCTTCCTCAGTCCCCTTCCTCCTTAGCTGGCTTGGGAGAGGGGGAGTAGCAGCAGGATTTCCTCCTTCTCCTCCTGAGGTGGCAGGCAGATGTAGTAAGCAACAGCCAGGAGACAGGTTTTTTTTAAGATCTTCCTCAGTCCCCTTCCTCTTAGATGGCTTGGGGGGAGGAGAGAAGCAGCAGGATTTCCTCCTTCTCCTCCTGAGGTGGCAGGCAGAGGTAGTAAGCAACAGCCAGGAGACAGGTGTTTTTAAAGATCTTCCTCAGTCCCCTTCCTCTTAGATGGCTTGGGGGGAGGAGAGAAGCAGCAGGATTTCCTCCTTCTCCTCCTGAGGTGGCAGGCAGAGGTAGTAAGCAACAGCCAGGAGACAGGTGTTTTTAAAGATCTTCCTCAGTCCCCTTCCTCTTAGATGGCTTGGGGGGAGGAGAGAAGCAGCAGGATTTCCTCCTTCTCCTCCTGAGGTGGCAGGCAGAGGTAGTAAGCAACTGTCAGGAGACAGGTGTTTTTAAAGTCTCTTCCTCAGTCCCCTTCCTCCTCGTGGCTGGCTTGGGAGGGAGGAGAGAAGCAGCAGGATTTCCTCCTTCTGAGGTGGCAAGCGGATGTAGCAAGCAGCAACCAGGAGACAGGTGTTTTTAAAGTCTCTTCCTCAGTCCCCTTCCTCCTCTTA